TATGAGAAGAGGGGGATGGGATGGGAATTTAAGTAGATAAATGAGAAGAGGAGCCTGGCATGAATCAATGAGGTAATGTTTCATGAACTACAGAGTAACTCAACCCTCTGCACTGTGGTCCAGAAAGTGGAAGAAAAATCATTGCTGAGAGCTGCCACCAGGTTATCAAGATTTGTTCAAGGTCTATCTTTTCTTCTAGATCAGAAGTTATAGCCCAGGAGCCAAATCCAACCCACCACCAGGTTCTGTAAATAAAGTTTTATTGGCACACAGCCACACTCATTCATTTACATATTGCCTGTGGCTGTTTTTACAGGACAATGGGAGAGTTGAGGAGTTGCATCAGAGACTATGTGGCCTGCAAAGCTTAAGAGAATTATGAACTGGTCCTTTACGAAAAAGGTTTGCCAACCCCTACTCCAGACTAAAAGCTCCATGATGGCAAGGACCGTAGGTAAAGAGAAAAGAGAAAGCTCCATGAATAGTGATGTATCAACACCGGCCAAATACAAAACAAGCACACAGGCTTCCCACAGCTCCAGGGTATCACTCAGACTGCAAGTGGTGGCCACTCAGTTCTTCAACTGCACCAAGGGCCCTCTGACCCTAGGCCTTTGTGTGTGCTGACCTTCTCTGTGGAACGTTCTCTCTCTACTTCATCCTCCGACCAACTCTACCATATGTCTTCCAGGAGTGTTCTCTGGTGCCCTGCCCCTAGCCTGGGAAGCCATTTAAAGCCTTTCATAGCACTCAGCACTTCCTGATAAAACACAGCACCCTGGTATTGTGTGCTCAACAAGGTGAACACATAGGTCTGCCCTCCTTTCTAGACCAAAACCTACACAAAGGCATGGACCAAGTCCTGCTTGATTCTGAGTTCCCAGCTTCTCTAGCACAGCACATATTAGGTGCTCAATAAAATTTTTTAAGAAATAAATCAATGAATTCAAGAATGAGTAAATGAAAAGGTGTGATGGAGGGATGGTAAGCAGGACAGTGTGGCAGGAGCAGAGGACATGCAGGGAAAGGGGAAAGAGTAAGACAGGAAAGATTGGGGGAAATGATAAAAGGCCTGAAATGCCAAGAAGTAGATGCTTTCTTCCAAAGGGCATGTGCTGAGGCCTGACATTCCAACACAAAGACTGTCTACTGCATGAATAATTGACTTGGAGCTGGAAGGAGTCAGAATCCAGGTCATCCCCCCACCCCCCCCCATGGAGATGGTGCAGGCCCGTTTCCATCCTGGTTTCTCAGCTGACCTGCTTCCAGCCTCTACTCATCCTCTGGTGGATGCAGGCATGACCTATTCCACACACGGTGAGGGCTCAGAATACTGGTGCCTGCCCTGGCTTTGCCAAGACAGAGCATGTTCAGCTTCTCCCTGGTCCTGGAAGACAGGAGTGCCAGATGGAGTCTTTAGGCTCTATTCTCTGCAGTCCTCTGAGCCCATGGCCTTCTGGCTTTTAAGCATATAATAAACCAAGCACCTTTCCCCTTTGCTGTGGGCTATAAGAGTAGAAGGCATCGCAGAGTCCTGAAGACCCCCAGAGAGCACTGACTCCTCATTGCAGCTCCTCTCACTGCCTCCAGTCCCCTTGGTCCCTGTACCCACCTGGGAAGGCTTTCTATGGGACTTTCTCACATATTCACCTATTCTGTGTGTACTAGAAGCTCATTCCCAAGGGAAGGCAGAAGGTGGTGCGTGGCCCAGATGTGCGAAGCTTCCAACGCAGGGGAGCCCTGTGTCATCTTAAATCTGAGATGGTAGGTCCGGGCCTTGAAGTACCAGGGCAGCGTGCCCCTTACTATCTAAGACCTGGAATTGCTGGGAGGGGACATAATAGGATAGCATGTTGGCTTTCCACGGCTGCCATCACAAAGACCCACAGACAGAATGACTGAAACAGCAAAAATTTACTTCCTTGCAGTTCTACCAGCAAGAAGTCCAAGATCCAGGTATCTGCAGAATCAGTTTCTTTCGAGGCCTCTCTTCTTGGCCCATAGATGGCCGTCTTCTCCCGCCTTCACCTGCTCTTTCCTCTGTGCGTGTCTGCGTCCTAATCTCTTCTTCTTATAAGGATATCAGTCTATTGGATTAGGGTCCACTCTAATAACCTCACTTTAACTTAATTACCTCTTTTAAAACCCTATCTCCAAATACAGTTACATTCTGAGGCACTGGGGGGGTTAGGACTGCAACACATGAGCTGGGGAGAGGAGACACAAATCAGCCCTGGGAAGGGCTTGGCATGGGGGCCAGATGGAAAGGAGTTCAAATCCTAGCCCTTCACCCCATTGAGCCTCAGTTTCCTCATCAACAAAATGAGGGGATTATTTCTCCCTCGAGGGCACCTCTGAGGATAGAGTGAGATAAGACACCTGCCTGCACCAGCACAGTCCTGGGTGCCCGGTAAATGGCATTTATTATTTACAGTGTTCCTGGGCCGGGCGTAGTGGCTCAAACCTGTAATCCCAGCACTTAGGGAGGCCGAGGAGGGCGGATCACGAGGTCAGGAGATCGAGACCATCCTGGCTAACACAGTGAAACCCCGTTTCTACTAAAAATACAAAAAATTAGCCAGGCGTAGTGGCGGGAGCCTGTAGTTCCAACTACTTGGGAGGCTGAGGCAGGAGAATCGCTTGAACCCGGGAGACGGAGATTGCAGTGGGCGGAGATTGCGCCACTGCACTCCAGCCTGGGTGACAGAGCGAGACTCTGTCTCAAAAAAAAAAAAAGCCGTGTTCCTGGACTCTGGCCTTCACATATGCCAGGTCCTAGTCATTCTCCATTAACTCCATCTGTATGAACCACAGCTACATGTCAAAGGGTCATATCATGTGTCATATTTATTCTTTCCCAACTCACCAAAACATCTCACTTTAACCTCTCAGCTTACATTGTTTTGGACATTTTTCTTGCTAAAATCATCTACATTTATTGTTCATGAATATAGTCTGATGACCCCATCCATGGAGGGACTGTCTGGTGGGATGGTTAAGAGTTTATCAAATTCTCTAGTCCACAGCAAGTGTAAAAGGAATAGGGGGAAAAAAATGAACAAGCAAGAAGAAAGAGTTTATCAAAGTCTTGGTTTGATCCTGGCTCTGCTACTTACATGCTGCGCGAACCTAGGCAAATCACTGAAACGCTCAGTGTCCTCCTCTGTAACATGAGAATCATGAAAGTAGCTCTCTCATGGGGCTGCAGTGACATTTAACTGAGCTTAGATATGAGAAGCTCTTCCAACAGGGCAAAGCGTAAAGTAAGCACTCTAGGTCTGTTAGCCATGATTACGATGTTTCACCATTCTGGAATGTCCTCCTGCTCTATCTGTATTGACAGAGACTGCAGGCCCCCTCCCGTGAGCAGCATCCCTACTACAGGGGTGCCTGATGAACTCTGGCCCCCGCAGTTCTCATTTGGCCTAAATGCCCAACTGTGTCACACTCTTGGCACCAAGCACGCCCGGCTTCATTTCAGGAGTGAGAGTCACACCGTGTGTCTCTGAAGGGTGAGAGCATGCGTCCACCCCCTGGTGTTCCACAGCCCGAACACAAGGCTGAGTACAGAGTAGCTTCTTGGGCTGCAAACAATGGTTGACTGATTGATTGACTGATTGATTGATAAAACTACATGACGCCAACTCAGCAACAACCCCCTACCTGGAGGACTGCACCATATTCTGAAATCTGCGAAGATGTTGAGGGAAAAGTGCCATTATTCTCAAATGCACATTTTTTTTTTTTGAGATGGGGTTTCCCTCTTGTCGTCCAGGTTGGAGTGCAGTGGTACGATCTCGGCTCACTGCAACCTCTGCCTCCTGGGTTCAAGCAATTACCCTGCCTCAGTCTCCCAAGTAGCTGGGACAACAGGCGCCCGCTACTACACCTGGCTAATTTTTGTATTTTTAGTAGAGATGGGGTTTCACTATGTTGGCCACACTGGTCTCAAACTCCTGACCTCAGGTGATCTGCCTGCCTCGGCCTCCCAAAGTGCTGGGATTACAGGCATAAGCCACTGCATCTGGCCCTGAAATTGAATTTTTAACCTAAATAAAATGTTTTAAAAAATAAATTAGGCCTGGCAAGGTGGCTTACACCTGTAATCCCAGTACTTTGGGAGGCCAAGGCGGGTGGATCACGAGGTCAGGAGATTGAGACCATCCTGGCTAACACGGTGAAACCCTGTCTCTACCAAAAATACAAAAAATTTAGCCAGGCATGGTGGTGGGCACCTGTAGTCTCAGCTGCTCGGGAGGCTGAAGCAGGAGAATGGCGTGAACCTGGGAGGTGGAGCTTGCAGTGAGCCAAGATCGCGCCACTGCACTCCAGCCTGGGCAATAGAGGGAGACTCTGTCTCAAAAAAATAAATAAAAATAAATAAATAAATAATAAATAAATTAGAGCTTGGGATTTTGTGTGTGTGTTGTTTTGTCTTTGTTTTGTTTTGCCTTAAGTTCCTGAGTGACTTTACTCTGATGATGGGCAAATCCTACTAACCACTCATTTGTAAAGTTTCTGCAAATAGACCACAGCATATCCCATTCCTGTGTCCCACAAGGAATGCCGTTGGTGGAATGGGGCAGGACTGCCCTTCAAAGTCAGTATTATGTTTTATATGAAAAAATATTCAACATCATCAATCATCAGAGAAATGAAAATCAGAACCATCTCACACCAGTCAACATGGCTATTACTAAAAAATCAAAAAATAGCAGATGCTGGAGAGGCTGTGGAGAAAAGGGAAGGCATTCTTGGTGGGAATGTAAATCAGCGCAGCCACTGTGGAAAGCAGTCTGGAGATTTCTCAAATAACTTAAAACAGAGCTACCATTCAACCCGCAATCCTGTTACTGGGTATATACACAAAGGAATATAGATCATCCTACCAAAAAGACATATGTGTTCGTATGTTCATCACAGCACAATTCCCAGTAGCAAAGACACGGAATCAACCTAGGTACCCATCAACAATGGATTGGATGCAGAAAATGTGGTCTAGAGGTCTCTGTCGAGCCGCGGACGCGGGTCTCTGTTCCGCAGGATGGGGTTTGTTAAAGTTGTTAAGAATAAGGCCTACTTTAAGAGATACCAAGTGAAATTTAGAAGACGACGAGAGGGTAAAACTGATTACTATGCTCGGAAACGCTTGGTGATACAGGATAAAAATAAATACAACACACTCAAATACAGGATGATAGTTCGTGTAACAAACAGAGATATCATTTGTCAGCTTCTCAATAGGTTTGGCATGGACAAGATCTATGAAGGCCAAGTGGAGGTGACTGGCGATGAATACAATGTGGAAAGCATTGATGGTCAGCCAGGTGCCTTTACCTGCTATTTGGATGCAGGCCTTGCCAGAACTACCACTGGCAATAAAGTTTTTGGCGCCCTGAAGGGAGCTGTGGATGGAGGCTTGTCTATCCCTCACAGTACCAAACGATTCCCCGGTTATGATTCTGAAAGCAAGGAATTTAATGCAGAAGTACACCGGAAGCACATCATGGGCCAGAATGTTGCAGATTATATGCGCTACTTAATGGAAGAAGATGAAGATGCTTACAAGAAACAGTTCTCTCAATACATAAAGAACAGTGTAACTCCAGACATGATGGAGGAGATGTATAAGAAAGCTCATGCTGCTATACGAGAGAATCCAGTCTATGAAAAGAAGCCCAAGAAAGAAGTTAAAAAGAAGAGGTGGAACCGTCCCAAAATGTCTCTTGCTCAGAAGAAGGATCGGGTAGCTCAAAAGAAGGCAAGCTTCCTCAGAGCTCAGGAGCGGGCTGCTGAGAGCTAAACCAAACAATTTTCTATGATGATTTTTCAGATAAAGATAATAAACCTACAGACAGAAAAAAAAAAAAAAAAAAGAAAATGTGGTCTATATACACCATGGAACACTACACAGCCACACACACACAAAGATAAAATCATGTCCTTTGTAGCAACACGGATGCAACTGAAGGTCATAATCCTGAGAGAATTAACACAGGAACAAAAAACCAAATTCCACATATTCTCACTTATAAGTGGGAGCTAAATATTGGGTATTCATGGACATAAAGATGGCAACAATCAACACTGAGCACTACTAGAGAAGGGAGGGGGCAAAGGCTGAAAAACTACCTACTGGGCACCGTGCTCACTACCTGGGTGCTGGGACCGTTTGTACCTCCAACCTCAGCACACACAGTATACCCATGTAACAAACCTGCCTATGTAACCCCTGGATCTGAAATAAAAGTTAATTTTTTAAGAAGTCAATATTATGTTTTAAAGACTGGTAACATAAGAAATCTGGAATCCAGGTAAGGGTCCCAAATTTTGGAGCACAGCGCACTTCCCTGCCTGCGTGGTTTTATGTAAGTAAGTGTATTCGTTTAATCCTCACAATAGCCCCCATGGCGGATGAGGAGTCTAGGGTATGAGGACTCAGTCACTGGCCCCAGATTGGACAACAATAGGCAGCAGAGCCAGCCTCACTCCTGGCAACGCGGTGACAGGGTAAAGCCCCGACCATCCCTCGCCCCTGCCTTTCACCTGAAGTTGGTGTTGCACTTCTCATGGTGACGGGCAGGTTCTCACAGCCCGCCACGCGAATGGCAGACAAGGAGAGGACTCTTCTGCCCATCTGCCTATCTTGCAGGCGGGAAGTCCGAGCCACGGGAAGTCCGAGTCACCGGCTGTTCTGAGCAGCATCCTGGGCTTCTCTCCTGTCTCTACCTCCACACCCCAAAGGTAGGCGCTCTTAGCAAGAGGCAAGTCAATCCATTTGTCCGTTTGATTTAGGAAATGCCTACTGTGATCCAGGGCAGGCCAGGTCCTCAGCTGGACACCCAGAGGACCACAGAAGGGACAAGACCAGGCCAGCCCTGCGGAAGGTACTAGGCCTGTGTGTGGTAGGGGCAGAGACACACATGCCTATCCTCAGAGGGGCAAGTGCAAGTGCACAGTGAATCCCAGGAGGCCGAGACCATCACCCTCTGGGGTTATCAGAGAGACTTCCTGAAGGGTAATGCCCCTGCCGACTTCCTGAACCAAGTCTGACGGTCCCACGTGCGTCCCTCACCCAGTGGCCAACAGAAGAATGGTTTGGGCTTCCTCAGCTATCGAAGGAGGCTGTTCACCAGGCTCCCTGGCTTGGGCTTGACCTTGGCTCCAGTTCATTCCCAGTTCATCCCAGAGTGTACACAGAGTGTCCACCCAGCAGCTCCATCCCTTCTCTAGCCCTGTGATCTGCCTTGGACCTTTCTGAACTAGGCTCACTCAATTTGACCTTCAGGATGATGTAGGGCCCCCTGGAATTCAGCATCCTCCCTCCCAGCCTCTTCGGGGGCCCAGCCTGCCCAGCTTTCCTCACCGGCCCCAGCAATAGACAGACTGGAAAAGTCAGAACTGAAAAGAAGGACATTCAGGGCATGCCCCAAGAGAGTCCTGGTCTTCCTTCTCCTCCGGGAAGTGGACGACCTACTCACCCATCTTCAAAATCCTCATCCCTCATCCTTGAGGCTCTTTTCCAAAATGAACCTTGGAAATCACGTTTGTCATGAGTTGATGGTTTCTAGGGTGATGTCTCCCTTGAGAAAATCTTGACTTCCTTACACAGGAGCTGGCTGTGTCTGGTGCCAAGGGAAGAGAGAGATGCATTGCTAAAGAGTAGAATGGATATCTTTGACACAGAAAATGAACCCCTGGCCTGTGCAGGAAAATGAGAAAAGACAGAGAAATGGAAACCCTCCTCCCAAATATCCCAGGACCCCCAAGAATCTGTGAGCAGCCAAGCAGCCATGCGGCCTGTGTCTCCACTGAGCTCCAGGAGAGACCCTCAGGGCTGTTCTAAGGGCGAGAATTCCAGCCAAGCTGCCAATAATAGCATTAGTGTCAGCCCTCCCAGCTTTCTCCTAAAGGAATCACCCATGGTCTCTACTACCCCTCATTGAACCCTTTTCTTCCTTATCATGCCACCCTAGGGGCTTAAAACCTCTGCCATAAGAGTCACAACCCCCTTCTGGGTGTCCCGGAGCCCCTCCCCATTGCCTATTCCAGCCTGCTGTCCTTTAGCTCAAACCTTTGTGCCCACTGACCTCTGCTGTGCTCGCCATCTTCCAGCACCTGCCCTACACTTGCTCTGTCTCTGTTGCTTTTCTGTACCCATTTAACTGATCGACTGGCCTCTGCCCTTCCTCCAGGACAGGATGGCTTAGCTTTGCGAAGCCTCTGCGGGGAAGGAGCCCACGTGAGCCAGATATACACCTACTGCCTGGGCAATGCATCCTGCCTCTGATGGGCCAGGCCTTCACTCTGCCAGGACCCTGATCTTAGCTGTGACCAGCCACCCCACAACCCACACTGTTACAGATGCACAGTGGCCAGCGTGGACTGCAGCAGCTTCTTTGCAGTTGTCGGGGCCCATTAGACTCCTCCCTCCATCTGAGGCTCTCCAGGCTTGTGTCCAGGGCCTGACAGTCCAACCACAGTCACCTGTTCTGCATGTAGCAGAACAAGCACCTTCTAGAAATGTAGAAATATCTTTGCCTTCCATTTATTGGACTATTTTCTTGTCTCCAACTACAACAAGGAAAGGAGCCAAAGAGAACCACTCGAGTGACATCCCTGGTATATACACCGGAAACGTGATAATAAGCAGAATGTGGACCACTCCGGATCTCACTGTTGATGACCCTCTCCCAACCCTCCACTCCCACAGAACTTGGGTAAACTCCTATCAAACACCCATCAGACATTAATGTCACATTAGTTTTGCACATGATGGTCTCTCCTCCTAGAATTTCAGTTTTTTAAGGGTAGGGAATGTATCTTCACCCATTCTTATATTCCTTTGAGTATTCACCCATGTATTCATGTTATCAGTCAACATCATGTACTAAGTACCTGCTTTATGCCCAGGCCCTGCCCTAGATCCCAGAATGCAAAGATAAATAAGATACAGGCCAGGCTCATGCCTGTAATTCCAGCACTTTGAGAGGTTGAGGAAAGTGGATCACAAGGTCAAGAGATCGAGACCATCCTGGAAAATATGGTGAAACCCGGTCTATAAAAATACAAAAATTAGCTGTGCATGGTGGCGTGCACCTGTTTTCCCAGATACTCGGGAGACTGAGGCAGGAGAATCACTTGAACCCAGGAGGTGGAGGTTTCAGTGACCCAAAATCGTGCCACTGCATTCCAGCCTGGCGACAGAAAATAACATACAGTCCCTGTCCTCGAGGCTCCCAGTCCAGCGATTGGTAAATAGATGTTTATACCTCAGCACGACAAATTCAATAATAGAAAAACGCAGAGGACAATGTGAGTTAAAAGGAAGAAGCATTTTCCCCATCTCAGGAGGTCAAAAAACACATCACAGACAAGGAGGTTTCTAAACTGGGCTTTGAAGAATCACTAGGAGTTCTTTGGGCCAAAAAGGCATTGCAGAAGTGAACATGTACCAACATCACTGATAAAACCTCAGCAATTGCTGTGATTCCTGCACATAGAAAATGCTCAAGTTGCTGGGTTGCACTAAGTGAGAATATTGTGACTGATGGAAACCCAGTCCAAGGACTGTGAAAAGAGGGCCCCATCCTAGCTCCTCTGCCTCAAACCTGGAGACACATTGGAGTCACTTGGCAAGTTTGAGAAAACACTGATATTCCAGAGTCACTCCCTGCCACCCCACCCTAGAGATCCTCATATAATTGGCCCAAGAGGCTGCCTGGTCTTTGAGACTCTTAAAAGCTCCCCAGGCGATTCCAATAGGCAGCCTTGTTTGAGAACCACTGATTTTTTTTTTTTTTTTAGATGGAATTTCGCTCTTGTTGCCCAGACTGGAGTGCAATGGCGTGATGTCAGTTCACTGCAACCTCCGCCTCTCGGGTTCAAGCAATTCTCCTGCCTCCGCCTCCCGAGTAGCTGGGATTACAGGCATGCACCACCACGCCCAGCTAATTTTTTTTGTATTTTTAGTAGAGACGGGGTTTCTCCATGTTGAGGCTGGTCTCGAACTCCTGACCTCAGATGATCCACCCGCCTCGGCCTCCCAAAGTGCTGGGATTATGGGCGTGAGCCACCGGACCCGGCTAAGAACCACTAATTTAGACCCGTGCTTCTCAAACTTAATGTGTAAATAGATGCAGGCAATCTTGTTAAAATGCAGATTCTGATGCAGCAAGATGGGCCTGAGAATCTTCACTTCTAATTAGCACCGCTGCTGCTGGTCCTGGGACCACCATTTGAGTAGTGAGGCTTTCTGAGGCTTAATGTCCGAAGGCAATTCAGCTGGCCTCAGGAACATGCCTGAATGCAGGGGTGATGTTCCAAATCCAAAGGGAAGAGTACATGTGGGGGCACCAACTGCTCAGAATGGATGTAGTGGCCACAGCTCTGAAGCCTCTGCTGCCCCTGGTGTGAGTTAACTCCTAGTTATGGGTGGGGAAGATGCTAGGGGGAGGGCTGGGCAGTCAAGGCCACAGGGGGTGCCTGGGAGAGGTGGGGACGGCAGCCTGATTACCCACCTCCGTGTTGTAAGAGCTGGCATCGAACACCGGTGTCTGCCAGCTGGCTGTCCCCCCACCCACGGCCTGCACCCAAGGCCGAGGAACAGCCAAGAGGCCTGGCGAGCATCATCCTACGGAGAGGACAGCGAGGAGGCCGCCTTGGCAGGAGCTGCCTGCTGGATAAACATTGTTCTGTTTTTTTCTTTTTTCTCTTCAAACAAGCCCTTCTCAGCACTGGCCACATCATCCTAAACAAGGCCTCTCAGTGCTGTTGACACAAAGGCAGGGATGGTGTCATTCCAGCCCAGAGATAAAACTCGGATCCTCCCTTAATGGTGGGTACTTCCTCTCGGGAAGAA